AACGTTGATATATTTCATTTGATAATGAAATGATTTAATGAATGTTTATTAATTGGCAACCATTAATGGAGTATTTACTTTTATTGAAATTAGTTTTCAGTGGAAAATGGTTTTTAAAATACTGTAGCTATTTAAAATCTGTTATTTATGAATTTAAAACAAATATAGAATTTGAGCGGAATTTCAACTATAGCCCAGCTTAACATAAAATATTTTATGGATGTTTATCATAACACATCTGTGGTGTTTGGTTTTTTGCGGGATTGATTTCAGTAGACAATGAGAAGTACAGAAATATTCAAATAAAAATTAATATTTCTGTTTAGATTAATATTAAATTGGTTTTGAATTTGAATAACTTTGGCACATTTTAGCATATCATGCTTTTATGAATGTTTTCCATCCACTTTTATGGTATTGTCATTTGGCAATTTATTAAAGATTGTTTTCATTATATTGCTGATAATATGAAATAGAAAATGATTGGATTCAAATGCTTTGTACATTTTATCATAAAATGATGTTATAAATGTTTATCCAAATATATTCGTGGTGTTGCAGTTAGTTAAAGTAGAAAGTGGGTTCAAATCATACGAGTTGGAATTTATGGATGTTTATCCAACCACATTTGTGGTGAAGCCATTTAGTAAAATTGGTTTCTGTAGACAGTGTTTCTTAGCACATAGTAAAGTAAAAGTTGATAATTTTTATCAGAGCAAAGTAAAATTTGATTGGAACTTGAAGTATTTTGATAAATTTATCACATAGTATGAATTTATAGATGTTTTTCGACCCCTTTTGTGGTGATGCCATTTAGCGAGATTGCTTTCTGTAGAAAGTATTTCTACATATGAAGTAAAGTAAAAGTTTATTATTCTGATGAAAATAAAGTAAAAAACTTGATTGGAATTTGAACTTTTTGATAAATTATATAATATGAATGTATGGATTTGTATCCAACCACATTTGTGGTGATGCCATTTGGCGAGATTTGTTTGTGTAGAAAGTATTTCTACATAAGTAGTAAAGTAAAGGTTGATAATTCTGATGAAAATAAAGTAAATTTGATTGGAATTTGAACTTTTTGATAAATTATATCTAAAATGATTTTATGGGTGTTTATCCAACCACATTTGTTTTGATGCCATTAGGTAACATTGTTTGAATTTGATTAAAATTTGATCAGTCTTGACAAATTAATATTTCATATTAGATCATACTATGATCGTATGGTTGATTTTCAAATCCATCTGTGATTTTTTTTTTATTCAAAAAGACGAGAATGATTTATCAGAGAGTTATATATACATGAAGTCAGATGGTTAAAAAAAAAAAAAAAAAAAAAAAAAAAAATTCTTTTAAATTCACTTTATTATAATTTGATTATCAAATGGATGTTTATACAAACACATTTATGTTGTTGCCATTTGAAGAGACTGTCTTCGGGGAAAAAAGGGCGTTCTTGATTCACAATAATTGAACTTTTAGTTATTCTAATTTTTAAAGTGTTTTTGCACAATATTATGCTCTTTTAGTTTACAGATTTTGTTTTAAATAATTTTGATATATTTAATTTTATAATAAAATTATTTTATGGATGTTTATCCAAGTATATTTGTGGTATTGCCATTTGGCAAGATTGATGTCAATATAGAAAAAAGAGTTAAAGAAATACTTTTATGTATTTAGTTAGATAAGAGGTAAATGGTATTATTCTCCAAAATGACATTTATATTTTTCTTAATTTAAAACATTATTAGTGCAATTCATAAATTTTTAACCTAATGGTGGAATTTTGATTCATTTTATCATTTAATGATAGTATGCATGAATTGCTAGCCACAATGGTGATGATTTTGATTTCAGAGTTAAAAGATACATGTATCTATCAGTTTTCTAACATCAAATTTGTTCTTCCAGGTATTATTGGTTATCGTTTTCTTACGTTTAAATCAAGCATCATGATGTATTAATCTGTGTACCAATAATGACAGAGTTTCAAACAGGCACATATCCAAGGAATTGAGATGGGATTCAAGATATTTCACAGGAATGTGTTGTTTGTGCTATTTTGATATTGGATAATGATTATACTTCTGTGTATAACTGTGCCGAAATCATTTCATATATTTGAGGTATTTTTCCCTGGGACTTCACGATCAATCGTATGGTATGTGTTGAATTTGACTTGAAACTATACTCAAAACTCAAGTGCAGTGTGGATATGATTTGTGCATAATATCAAGACTTTTACGATCAGACTCACATGGTGAATTGCGTTATGGATTTTCAAAAGACGGCGGTGTATTGAATTTGTTTAGGATGGATATACATGTATATGTATTTCTTTGGTGATTATTTAATTGTTTTAAAAACATTTTATTGGAAAATTTCTGTAAATTTTATGTAGTTATTGTGTTTAAAATATTGATTGACTTTGATATTATTTAAATGAATTTTGTTGGATTGAATTTAAAATCAGTGATTTTATACTTTAATTCATTTTCCCGTTCTTTGTATTTAGAGCTGCTGCGTGTCGTTGCTATGTCCAAATGGTGTGTTTGTTGTTTATTGTACTTTCATTTGAAAGTAATGAATGGATTTAGAGTAGAAATATGATTTCTTTCGTTTGAGGAACGAATTAGACAGAAATCAATTTCTACTTGGTGTGATAATGAATTACTTTTTCGGAATTACAAGGTTTTCATTCGAATACCTGGTGAATATCACGTGGTTCTTTAGAACCGGTCTTGTTAGCAAGGCTATATAAGAGGTGAATAGTGGTTTAAATACCAGTTTAGGACGACACGTAGAGCACGATAAAGTTCAAATTTTATCATGATTTATTCAATCCAACATAAACATGTATATATACAAATATGTTGTACAAATAAAGCTGCTGCGTGTCGTTGCTATGTCCAGATGGTGTGTTTGTTGTTTATTGTACTTTCATTTGAAAGTAATGAATGGATTTAGAGTAGAACGGTTATCATCACTGACGGAGCACCTCAAACTGGTATCTTCAATACCAGGTCAATAGTTATAACCGCCAATTTTAGAAAAAGTCCGTACTATTTTCGCTGAACATAGAAAGGACCATGAATACAATGGTAATTAATACTTGAAATTGTAAATCAAAATTGTTCTATACTTCTGAAACTAGTAAAGGCTTAGAATTTATATAACTTAGGTAATTTTTTTTATGTAGTTTTATTACAGTAGTATACAGTTAAGGGTCCGAAATGGGCAAGTATATGTATAAAAAAAACGGCATAAAAATTTGTTTCTGGAATGTTCGAGGAATTTTACACAAGAAGAGAATAAGCCAAATGATAAATTATTTTTGAAGGGGGTAAAACTTGATCTTACATGTACGTGAAACACACACATGTTGGGAATAGTACCAATATTTTTATGCCCCCGTAAACGAAGTTTCGGGGGTATACAGTTTTTGTCGTGTCCGTCTGTCTGTCTGTCTGTCCGCAAAAACGTTAACTTGCCCATAACTTTTGATTTAGTGGAGCTATGACTTTCATATTTCACATGTGTATTCCTTGTGACAAGACCTTTCTTTGCGTACCACAAAATTTGACCTTTCGACCTTGACCTTGGAGTTTGACCCACTTTAACACAAAAATTCCAAACTTTAATTTTTCTTTGGTCATATTTTTGAACAGTAAATACCAGGACATTTATACTTCACATATATATATTCCGTGTGGACAGCAGGCCTTTCATTGGATACCAACGACCATGACCTTTTGACCTTGGAGATTTTTATTCTTGTGAAAAACTTTAACCTTGGCCATAACTTTTGAACGGTAAAGGATAGGGCTTTCATACTTCACATAAGTAATCCTTGTGAGAAGACCCTTCATTGGATATCAAGACCTTTGACCCTTTGACCTTGACCTTGGAGTTTGACCTACTTTTAAAAAGCAAACCTTGACCATAACTTAAACAGGGCTAAGGCTAGTGCATTCATACTTTACATATTTCATCCTTGTGACAAGACCTTTCTTTGGGAACTACCAAATCTAACCCTTTGACCTTGACTTTGGAGTTTCATTTCATTACATTTCTAAATTGGTAACCTTGACCATAACTTTTGAAGAGTTAGGGCTAGGGCTTCCATACTTCACATATGTATTTTTGTGGCAAGACCTTTCATTAGATACCAATGACCTTGACCTTGGATATTTCCGTACTTATGAAAAAACTTTGGCCATAACTTTTGAACGCTTAGGGCTAGTGATATCATATTTCATATAAATAATCCTTGTGACAAGGCCTTTTATTTGATATCAAGAATTATGACCCTTGTACCTTGTCCTTGGAATTAGACCTACTTTTTAAAATTGGTAACCTTGGCCATAACCTTTGAAGGGTTAGGGCTAGGGCTTCCATACTTCACATATGTATTCTTTGTGGCAAGACCTTTCATTGGATACTAACAAACTTTAAATTTTTGACCTTGACGATTTCTGTACTTATGAAAAAACTTTAACCTTGGCCTACTTTCATATTTTTCACAACTGTATTTTTTGAACAGTAGATACCAGGACATTTATCCAGTGAGAATACCCTTCTTTGGATACCAATATATTAAATTTGCATATAAGAAAAGTTTAACCTTCGCTATGTTGCCATACGGGGGCATCAGTGTTTCAAAAACACATCTTGTTATTGATGGTTTTACATACTTACCTGTATGTATGGACATGTCCGCAACTGAAGATTTTATGGGGGAATTGGCATTTCTCGTATAAATTGTATTAAGGAACATATTAATTTAATTATTATCACGTACACAGAAAGATTTTCAATGGATTAAGATTTAAAAAAAAATTTTTTAAATCTTCAACAGCAATAAGTCACCTGAGTGACTCAGGAAACCTAAAAATGACATAAAGGAGGCTGGAGAAAAAAATTGAACATTAAACCCCTCTTGTAAAAAATCTGGATCCACTCTTGGAATAACAATAAATGGATTTACTTACGCACTGTGTTGATGTTGAACCAAACAGTTATCCCAATATCGACTGGGAAAAAGGGTATCAATAAAAGTGCACGAAAAACTAAAGGTGGGAGCAGATGTGGAAATTTCCACGTGATATAAAAATAGACTAATCACCCGATCTGGAATTCCATTCTATATTTATCGATGTTTTGAGTAAACAGCATAAAAAAAAAAACAGTAACTAGTAATTTATTTTCGGTTTACAAAAGAACTCGATTTTTCCAACATTTTAAACTTAAAGCTACACACTTCTCAAAATTAGATGTTTAATATGCACATTATAACCCTTTCGATTTCTTTACACCTGATTGCACATTTGAAACTCGTGTAATATTCCTTTCGAGGTCTTAGATTTTATGCATTTTCTGTTTGTAAATAAAACATTGACTTGACGTATATTTTCCCCTGACGGAAAAAAGTGCGTAAAATTTGATAATTTCATTGCGACGGTAATGTAAGATGTATATGTAGATACGTCAGATATCTGGAATTGTTAAGAGGCCTCTGGTAATGATACACACTAATATTTGGGTTGTAGGGGATAGCAATGGTGAAAGAGAAATATGGCAGACAATGTCTTTTAGGAGTACTGTTCAGCTTTAAAAAGAGAAAGTATCTTTTTCTCTAAAAATGCATGCAGTCTAGTAAAGATCAATTACGTAGGAAAAACACAGATTACAAATTGAGATACTTGGTAGTTTGTTCAAGGGTATTTGATATAGAGCTGATCGATTTTTTAATCTTTGTTCCTCTAGATTCCATTACCTTTTAGAATATGATTTTCAAAAAAGAGAATGAAACCAAAAGTCTCTGTGTAGCTCTTCTGGTCTGTACGTATAACAAAGGAAAAGTAGCACTTGGATTTGCAACTTTGCAACAGACAGCAATAAATAGAATAATGTATTAAGTATCTTAGTGTAGTCTACTTGTATGCCAAATTATATTAAAATCAGACCAAAAGTGGGGAGGAGTAGCGTTTTAAAGGAATTTAACAGAAATTTCTATTTTTATAACATAGCAACATCCTTCATTGATCGAAATCAAAAACCATTGCAATAAATTATGTATCTTATTGTAGTCAACATACTGAAATCAAACTAAAACTAAAGGAGTAGTATTTTGAAAAATTGTTTAGAGACGGACGGACGACGGAGACCATACTATCGTATAAGCTTTTCTTGTCTCTGACCAGTAGAGCTAAAAATGTCCCGAATATTTTTATACTCCCTGCTTGAAAAGAGGGAGGATGTATAGTGATCGGTATGTCCGTCTGTCTGTTACGCTTTGGGGTACCCATCTCTTATCCGCAACTCCTATACCACTGAATGAGACTTTCAGAGAATGCAATTGTTACATAGTGCCATTGAGACCTTTTCTTTTTGATGGAACACATATTTCGGGTTTTCCAGAGAAAAAAACTTTGACTCTGCCGTTATTTCTATAATATTGAAGAGTACCCATCCCTTACCAACAACTCCTCATCTACCACTAAATCAAACTTAATGATACTTTCACCAATTACATAATGCAATTGTGCGCCTTCTGTTTTATTTTTGACCTGACACTTATTACGGGTTTCCAGAAGGAAAACATGGACTTTACCATTATAATCATATGGGAGGCGGGGTTACCATTCAATGAGCTCAGTGCTCACAGTACCTCTAGTTTTGTGTCATACCTAATGTTACCAAATTTTATGGCCTACTGAATTGTAATAACTCTACAGCTAAGCTACACTGATTTTGGGATTTGCCTAGTGTTGCAAAATTTTGTTTACGGTAATTGATTAAAATATTTAAACGTAATAATGGTTGACACTTTTTTACTTAAATAATAATATGATCGAATTTTAATATCCCAAACAACCAAAATATATTTGAACTACCATATCTATACATTGTGTTGGATTCAAATACTTCATAAAAGTCCTTAAAAACAAAGAAACATAGCGGGTTCCAGTAAATGTTCAACCAAAACTCTTACTTTACTCCTCACTAAGATATTAACATTATAGTGAAGGAGAAACTTCAAGAGTGCTGTGCATCAATATATTCGAGAAGTGGTGTATATCAGATTTGGATACTTAATAATTCCAAAGAACTTTTGTACAATTAGAAATGACAACATTTTCCCAAAATCAACAGCTTAAAAACTTACGACTTTTCAACTTTATACACAATTCCCCACAATAAATTAAAATCAGGCTTTTTGATATCATTGACAGCTGCTTTTTCAACAAAAACTTAACTCGTGAATTTACTTACCTTGGTCATTTAATTATTTTGTTTAAAAATTACTTTGTTAAAAAATATTCTGATTCATTATTGTACACACAAGAACTCTGATGCTGACATCAAAAGGATGCTTGAGTTTCTGATTGACAATATCTATGTGTTTTTTCGTAGATCAGGTCTTCCAACAATTCATCGGAATTCCCATTGGTACTCATTGCGCCCCGTTATAAGCCGACCTTTTTTGATCTCTTAGGTATGCAGCAGAATTTATTCCAAAATCTTATTCATGAAAAGAAGAGAACATTTGCTGTGGCCTTCAACTCGTCATTAAGATATATCGACGACGTACTGTCAATTAACAATACTGTAGTTGCTTCCATTCTCCAGTCTCTCACTAGAGGGCGTTTTACGCTTTGCTACAGCATCTCTGTCAACGACTAAATGCCAATATTCTTGGCAAAATTTACTTTAACCTACTGCATTGCACAAATCTATGTGCAATATTCTTGAAAAAAGTACTTCTTTTTATGAAAAAATCATGATTTTTGGAGATTTGAATTTTGATATGATAAATGAAGAGAAATCCAAGTGTCTAATTGAAATATGTGACATTTTTGATCTGTATAATATTATTAAATCACCAACATGTTTTAAAAAGGGTTGCGAACCGTCCCTTGTTGATGTCATATTAACATCTGATCAAACAGTATGTAAAACACCCTAAATTTTAATACTGGAGTAAGCGATTGTCACAATCTTATTGGAACTTTTATCAAGGCCAGTATCACAAACTCTAAAAATTTTGTCATTTTAACTCGAAGTTTTAAGAGTTTTGATGTACAATCTTATATTTCTGACTTACAAAAAATTGAAACACCCCCAGTAGCAAATGATGCCTCAGATGTAAATGTAAATTATCAAAATTTTGAAAAAGCATTTGTAAATGTTGCAGACACCCTGGAAAAAAGGCGAAAACATAAAAATAGTGTACCATACATGAACTGTGAATTAAGAAGGGCTATTTATAAAAAGCAAATGCTGAAAAACAAGTTTGACAAGTGTAAGACAGATGAGAACTGGGAAGAGTTTAGGAAACAGAGGAATTATGTTACAAAACTAAAAAGGGTATCAATAAGAAACTATTTTCAAGAAAGATGTGTAGGGGGACAAAAAAGTTCAGATTTTTGGAAAACTATTAAACCATTCCTATCGAAAAAATCAAAGTCCTCAGAAAATACAATCCTTTTATGTGAAAATGACAAGATTTTAAATGACCCAATAGAAACTTGCAACACTTTTAATGAATTTTATGCTAATGTGGCTAGTGAAATAGGGAAAGATGTAGTTTTTAATGAAAAAGATCACTGTAGTCTAAATGCCATCAGGGAAAATTTGGCTTTTACTGAGACATTTGATTTTAAGAAAACTAATGAAGAAGAAGTGACCAAGCTAATAAACAAACTAAATGTTACGAAATCCACTGGTGTAGATACAATATCAGCTGAACTTCTGAAATTTGGAGCACCTGTTCTGAGTAAACATATTTCTATTCTTGTTAACCAATCCATACAGAAGGATACTTTTCCTGATAGACTGAAACAAGCTCAGGTCATTCCCTTATATAAAAAAGAAGACCCTCTGTTAAAAAGTAATTATAGACCTGTTAGTATTTTACCAACTGTGTCAAAGGTTTTTGAAAAAGTTTTATGTGTACAACTTTCTGACTATTTTGATGGTATTTTCAATAATGCACTTTGTGCATTTAGAAAAGGTCATGGATGCCAAACTACACTACTGCGACTCCTTGAAGACTGGAAAATGGCTTTAGATCAGAACTTACATTTTGCGGCTATTTTAATGGACCTCTCTAAGGCTTTTGATTGTTTGCCACATGACATATTGTTAAGTAAACTCTCTGCATATGGTTTATCTCCAAATTCTGTCTCCATTCTAGGAAGCTACTTGTCTGATCGCTTTCAGCAAGTGAAACTTCAGGGAGTTGTCAGTAGTTGGGTTGGTATTAGAAAGGGAGTACCACAAGGTTCCATCCTTGGACCGCTACTCTTCAATGTTTTTATTAATGACATTTTTTATTTCATTAAGAATGGGTCTTTATATAATTATAAAGAAAAAAAAATAGAGGCAAAGAAAATGGCAGATCCTATGATTTCCTGGACTTGTTTCTTTTTTCTGTAACATGTTTTTCAAGTTTGGAAAATGACACAAGTCAAAGGGCGAATGGTCTGGCGAATATTGTTGGTGGGACAAAACATTAACTTTTTGTTTATCCCCAAACTCCTTTACTCTTCTTGGCGTGTGGGTTTGGACGCTGTCATGAAGAAATTCAATGTAGTGGATTCCTGATTCTGGTTCCTTCCTCTCATAAACCTTTATATCTTTTTTTGCAAAAAATTGCTTTTCAGAATTCTCCAGAAATTGAACTGCCTCCCCGAATAAGAGTTTGAACAACAAGAACACTAATATTTAAGAAACTTGCATATATATAACTGTTTCAGTGCTTTTGCAATTCTTTGATCTTCTCAGATCTGATCCGTTTTTGTCAAGTTCATCCTATTGTTTTTAGTTTTGAGGGTTTAAAACAATGGATTTAAGTTTCATTATCTGTTTGAATTTCAGACAAAGGTGGTTAACTACACTTTTAATTTTTTTTTCATTAATTCAAAATAGTTGAATAGATATTCTAACACGCGCTGTCATTTTCACTCATTTTTCAAAACATAGCTCACTAGATGATACCCCACCCAGCCTCCAAGCTCCCATATGATTTAATGACGAAGGTTATGTTTTGCTCTGTAAGTGTTAGACCCGCAA